CCATAGTTATCTCTAGTCATCCCAGTCATCCCAGTCATCCCAGTCATCCCAGTCATCCCTAGTTATCCCTAGTCATCCCAGTCATCTCTAGTCATTCCTAGTCATCTCAGTCATCCTTAGTCATCCCCAGTCATCCGTAGGAATCCCTAGTCATCCCTAGTTTTTCCAGTCATTCTTAGTCATCCTTAGTCATCCCTAGTCATCCTATTCATCCCTATTCATCCCTATTCATTCCTAGTCATAGCGAGTCTTTCCAGTTATCCCTAGTCATCCCTAGTCATCCTAGTCATCCCTAGTCATCCCTTGTCATCCCAGTCATCCCTAGTCATCCCTAGTCATCCCTAGTCATAGCTGGTTATCCCAGTAATCCCTACTCATCGTTAGTCATCCCAGTCTTCCCTAGTGATCCCTAGTGATCCCTGTGATCCCTAGTCATCCCAGTCATCCCTATTCATCCCTAGTCATGCTTAGTCATCCATAGTCATCTTAGGTCATCCCTAGTCATCCCTAAACATCCGTAGTCATCCCTAGTCATCCTTTTTCATTCCAGTTATCCTTAGTGATCCCTAGTGATCCCTAGTCATCCTAGTCATTCTAGTCATCCTAGTCGTGCTAGTTATGCTAGTCATTCCTAGTCATCTCAGTCATTACTAGTCATCCTAGTTATCCCAGTCATCCTTAGTGATCCCTTGTCATGCCTAGTCATCGCAGTTATCGTTTGGTATTTTAGTCATCCCAGTCACCCTAGGCTTCCGTATTTATCTCAGTAATCCCTAGTCATCCCAGTCATCTTTGTGTTCCCTAGTCATTTCAGGCGTCCCAGTGATCCCTTATCCCAGTCATGGCTTGTCTAGTCAGTCATCCCAGTTATCCTAGTCATCCTGGTCATTCCTAGTCATTTCCGCCGTCCCAGTGATTCTAGACATCCCGGTCATCCCTAGTGATCCGTAGTCATCCTTGGTCTTCCCAGGTATCCTTGTAAACCTAGTCATCCCAGTCATCCTTAGATAGGTGAGTCATCCAAGTCATCTTAGTTTTGCGTAGTCATCCCAGTAATTTCGAGTCATTCTAGTCATGCTAGTCTCCCCTAGTCATTAACGTCATCCCAGTCATCCCTAGTAATCTCAGTCATCCCTAGTCATCTCAGTCTTCCCAGTTATCCCTAGTCATCCCAGTCATCCCTAGTCATCTCAGTCTTCCCAGTTATCCCAGTCATCCTAGTCTTTCCTAGTCATTCCCGTCATCCCAGTCATCCCAGGCATCCTGGTTATCTCAGGAATCCAGTCATCCCAGTTATCCCGATTCATCTCAGTGATATCCGGCGTCCGTAATCCTCTATATTCATCCTATTAATTTTTGTTATCCCAGTCATCTTAGTTATGTTATTTGTCCTTAGTCATCCCAGTTATCCCTAGCCAACCCTGTCATGCAAATCATCTCAGTTATCGGTAGTCATGCTAATCATCTTAGTCATCCTAGTCATCTTAGTTTTCCCAGTCAGCCTAGTCATCCAAGTTATCCCTAGGTCTCCCAATCATCTTACTGATCCCAGTCATCCCGATCATTCCATTCTTTTAGTACATGCTAATAGGCGCGTGCTCCTGCTAGCATATATAGCACAATTTATTTATAATTGCATTAGAATGGAGAGAAGCTTTGATCAACCGGTCTCTTGAGGATGATTTTGTGATAGAAATCTTTTTTAGTAAATGTTTGGGGGAAAAACAAACAAACAACGCATTTTTTAAGTTTTCACATCATCATAAAACTCGATTTACGTCTCTTTCTCCCGGTTGGTCTTTCTATTTTCCTTTGGTGGAAGGGGGAGACAAAAGATCGTAGTAAAGAGGTTTATCCAAGGCACGTTGCCGAAGTGGCCTATACAATGAGTCTAGTAAATGAGTCTGGATGAAATCATAAGGTGTTATAGGTCAAAGGAAGCTCTTTAAGGGGTATCTCCCATGTTACCATATGGTTTTCCAGCAGTTTTACGAAACAAAATTGTAGATTTTGCCTTAAATGTGTAATTCTTGGCAGCGAGAGGGTAAAATTTACATCCAAGTTTGCGAAATTAAAACTGACTTTCTGCTTTCGTACTTGCTAGAACCCTGGGGTCCAGGCCTCAGCATCTTTAGCTCTGGCAGTTATGTCAGAGAATCTCAGCAGTAGAGACGTGGTAGGAAAACTGGGTAAGAGTTCTCTCTTGTTTTGTATAGTTTGCAGTAACACGAGATTACAAAATATTTTCCATATTTGAACAAAACCTGCTTCATCAGTTCTTATGTTTTGTCTTTTTGTATTTTCAACTTTATTCAACTGTCAGCTTGCTGTTAGCAGTTGAGTATTTCTAGAACTACAGCAAGTGTATCGCCCTTATTGTTATTTTGTTAGCGCATTGACGTTTCTATGGGGTTTGCCTTGTATAGCATTTAGCGTTTTTGGATGATATTCCAAAGAGGGGTCAAAGAAGTGAGCTGGAGAAACGATGTAACAAATATTGCATATTGTTTGGCGAGATAGAGGTAGTTGAGGCGATTTGAGGTTTGTTTTGGATGGTTCGAGTGTTGAGAACTCACCGTCGATAACTCCGAAACAGAGTTGAGACAGAGGTCTTTTGGGATTATTATACGTTTCTGGGAAACTACCCACCCATCCCTCTCCTAAGCCAACATTTTGCCCTGAGTGAGAAGTAATCCGTATTTTGTATAGATACCGGGAAAATGGATGTAAAAGGTGAAACTTGATGTAACCATTTCCAGAGTGACAGTAACGATTTCATTTGATTCCAGACGGTATTCCACCATTAATTAATCTACTCAACAACGACAACCCTGATGTAAAGGAAGGCGCAACACTCGCTCTGGCGAACATAACCACTGCTAACAACACAAACTGCGGGTAAGTTTATTTGTTTTTAGATGTTTGCTGACCAAGTCAGACACTCATTCCGTTTCCCTATCATATTAAAAGAAATCTAAGTATAAAATGAAAGAAAAAACAGTGTTGACTTAAGAACCTCCTCTGTTAACCCTTTCACTCTTATCGGTGACCAAAGTAAAAATTCGCAAAAATTCCCATTTTTTTAGTACTACGTGAAAGTTCGACCGAAGAGGTTTCGCATGAATGGCAAGTCGCCCGAAAGTCATCTCTCGTTTTAAAGTCGAACGTCATCTTAGGGTGAAATTTTGATAAAAGCAAATTCTCCCGCCGTGGGATATTCCAGAAATATGACTATGACTTACGTTAACAATAGCTTTCACAGGAGCGCAATAAACGTGATACAGTGGGAAGTTCTCCTGACGGACACTCTCGTAAGCGGACAGCTCTACTTACAGCCGCCTTCACATAACCCCGTTTTTCTTAACTCCTATACAAACTCTGTATTTTTACATTCCCAAAAGCGGCCAGTTCCAGTTAAGGACACTTTTTTCGCGTTCCGAGGATATCCGCTTACGAGAGCTTTCGCTTACGGTCCGTTTTGACGTTTTATGTGTTTCTAGTGACGTGGTAGACAAGGGAGGTGTTGAACCGCTGGTCACTCTTCTGAATGACCCCAAGCAGCTGGTTCAAGCCAATGCTGCTGTGTGCCTCACCAATCTAGCTACTGAAGGTATGTTAAGGTACAGTTTTTGTAGGGGAGGGGAGAGTGGAAGGGGTGTAAGTGGTGTGCAGTATTGAATTTCCCCTACCCCACTCCTCACTTTTATCTTCAATTCGATCAAAGTACACTGGAGTTATCCGTTATCTCATTTTTTGTCCTTGAATTAGTTGGATCAGCAATAGAGAGCTTCAGATTTGAGAACGAGAAAGAGTACGAGTACAGGATTTAACTTAAAAGTTTTTGAGCGTGTTCTCCAAAAAAAAAAGATACCCTGGAAAGCTTCATTTTACTTTTTTGCACCAAAAAAGTTAGTACGGTTATTTATACTGAAGGAGGTGAAGCCCTCTCCCAATAGCAAAATGATAAAACTTCTTACATTTGATGATTTGTTCCCGCCACTAAGACATTCTCGCTAAAACTCGTAGTAGAATGACGACGCCTATCACGTTTTCCCGCCAAAATGACGCAGATTCACGCGCGAGCAATACTCAGTATTGAGAAAATATCGTACTCATAGTCGTCGTTGTCTCAGAATCTAACGTTCTCTAATGGTTTTGTGTTTCCTAAAATTCCTCATTGGTTTCGTGAATCTTCTTTTAGAGTCTTGGAGATCCGAGATTCAGCAGAGAGGAGTTGTTCCAGCTCTTGTCCAAGCGTTACAGTCTAAGTAAGTAGAAACATTTTGAAAATCCAGAATACCTTTGTTCAGGACGAATTATCTCTGATTATGATAGCCGATAAACGTAGTGAATTTTGTAATGTGAAACTCATAAGAACCTGTTCGTACGTAGCGGTCACACATGAACCTGTAGTGAATAGCCCAATTCTTACCATGAAATTTATAACTGGACAACTTCAACCAGATCTTCAAGTGATGAATATTATTTCTTTTGTACAGTGCCGCAATAGTACAAAGTAAAGCTGGAATCGCTGTGGCTGCCTTCGTGTGCGACGCTGACTCAAGAAATGAGGTGAGCATAACACTGACTTTTAGAGTCCATTCTAAAGGTTTGTATTGTAATTATGATCGGTAAATCTTAACTTAAAAGGAGTTTTCCCTTCTGATACTTGACAATATTAAAGGGGTTCAGAATGCGGTTCACATGCGAACAAGTACGATTACACCTAACCCATCTATTGACCTTGCACTTACGCTATGCTACTGAGCGAAAAAGACCACAACGCGCGAAAAAAAAAGAATAGAAGGACAAAACATTTCGATTACAATCTACGTACTACTTTTGATTCCAGCTTCCTCTTGCAAAGTGATGGTTGCGACTCAAACTGTCTTTCTAGTTGCACTTGTCAACCTTCAAATTACTGTGACAGTAGGGAACTTAAGCAAACAAGAACGCTGACGTCTGGGGCCAGCTTGCATAAAACGTTCTTAAGATAAGAGGGTTCTTAACTTTTGTTCTAGAACAATAACCTATTGTTTTGAAATAATAGTTACGAGTTCCGTTAATCTTAAGATGTTCTTTTGCAACCCGATCCCGGACGTCATGAATAGCAACTGGAAGTTCGATGTCTCGCACAACGAATCTGAATTCCTTTGTTTTGACTCCTGCTCAACGAATTTGTACAGTCAGAACACTGAAAGAGAGAAATCAACTTTTGACGCTCGGGACGTCGACGTTCTCGTTGCTTAAGGTCCCTAGTTACTATTAATATAAACCCTAGAACATGTTGAAAACCTTAACGCTTATATTTTGGACGTGTAATGTAGGCTATCACTACCAGAAGTTCATATTGTTTTCTTTCTCATTTGCTCTGACAGTTCCGCGCGGAAGGTGGCCTTCCTCGTTTGGTTGAGTTATTGCGTTCAGGCAATGACGATGTAAGACGGAGCGTGGCCTGGGCCGTGCTTCAGTGTGGTAACGATTTACCAACCGCTACGGAGATTTGTAGACTGGGGTGAGAAAAAATTTTGCGAAAGAAATTTTAATTTTATTCTTTTTGATTTTCTTTTTTTTTTTAAAGTTTTCAAGAAGAACCTAAATCAGGAGATGAGCTTCTGCCTAAATCTGATGCTCAGCTGATAAATGGGGTGTTAACAATGTTTTTGCGAGTTTTTGTCCGTAATTTAGTTGTATGATGCAGTTCGGTTATTTTATTTTTATGTTATATTTTTTCGCCTTTCGTTAACTGGGTAAGTTGTGGTTAAAACTTTTTGATGGTTTAAAATTTTGTCATAGCTTAAGACAAAGGCAAAAACTTTAAGCTGATTTTTGTGAGAAATTTCAAATCATGCAAAAATGTTAAACATGTGCATATTGGCCCATAAATCGGCCTTAACCCTTTAAGCCGTGAGAGTGATCAGAATGAAATTCCTCCTTGTAATATCCCTGCTCTATAAAATAAGGTGATCAGGAGAATTGAGGATCAATGATCACAAAGGATGAATCTAATTGATGCTTCAACAAATTTCTCCCCACTACTTCTAGTGAATGAAAACTTATAGGGACAGCCAATGAGAATTTGAGTTTTGATATTAGGGTTTGTTTTCTTTAATCTGTAGTGGTTTGGATGTGTTAGGAGAGATTTCCTTGTCCAGTTCCCGCCAGTCTGGTTTTGCGAAAGCCGCCATGGAATGTCTCCTGGACAGTAACCTTCCCGCAAAGTACGCTCTGACGGGCTGTCTAAGTTCTAACAACATCATACAGGATGGATTCTACGATTGTGGACCGGTAAAACATTCTGTTCAAGTTAAGCGCAAAGATCGCTCTAGCAATTTATAAGACAGAACGGCAGAAAGTGTCTCGGCAGTCGGTTGGAGAGACCACGATGGCGTACTTGTTTTTGTAGCGGATAAGTAGTGAGAAAATTTTACAAAACAGAGCAGCTGGGATTAAAATTTGCAACGTGATAGTTCTTTCTACTCTTGGTTGATCTCTCTCCACCGTCTTTCCTTTACCGCTGACTCTCACTTTCACTTTCCGCCCGAAGAAAAGTAAACATTTAACAAACAAAAGTATAGAAATTGTAATAATAATAAATTAAACACGCACCAATAAGAACTTGTCTTCGGGTTTTACACGCTGTCCAACTTTTGTAGCTGGTTTATGCAGCCGCAAAGCTCTGTAATATGTCTCGAAATGCTAGTCACAAGACTTTTGCTCATTTCAAACAAAATTCTACAGCCAATTCTTTTTAGTGACGTCATAAACGGTTTTGACGCAACGCACGCGCATGTATTTTTCTCGCTTCGCGCGCACCTCACGCTGCCTTACGGAAAAGAGAAAAAACGGAATTCTCGAACGTTAACCCTTTTGACTGAGTTTGCTGTCGAGGAAACGTCATAAACAGTTTTGACGTACGCAGGCGCATATTTTTTGTGCTTCACGCGCACCTTACGGGAAACTATAACATAAAGCATAAACTCAATCCAGAAACGGCTTCCAAAGTTTTATAGTTTGATTCGTTTGGGGCAAATCTTATACACAGTAAAAAGAACACAATTCATGAACAGTAAAGTGAAAAGTTGTTTGTGGCATTCAGTCAAGTTCATGAGATAAGAAACGTTTAAGGTAACTCAACAACAAATTTTTAGAATGAAGCTAATTGTGGTGTGGTTATGTATTTGTTTAGATTCGCCCTGATAGCAGGTTCTTGACACTTGAGGAGCTCAGTTCACAGCCAACAGATGCTCACCGACCGATAATTCTGGTCAACTCCAAAAACCCCGAAAGGTAAGCCATTACGACGAGTAGTTTCAATATCTCATTACCAAGTAATCAAGAGATTTCTCCAATTCTTTTACTTTCGAGATTATCTATGAGTTATGCTCAAATCCAAAGTTTGGCTTTGAAAATACTGCCGACGACGTTTCTTGACACGGCTACACTTTGGGATTTTATCCACGGACTCAAATGGCAGACCCACGTTGTACAGCATAATATCTAGCATCGTTGGAAAGCTTGCATTTGAATGATCAACTTTACGGATTTTATCCACAGAATCAAAAATAGTACCACTGGAAAGTACTGCTCAATTGCTTTCATTTGAATGCTCTCGCCATAGGTTTTTTGAGTAGAGGAGACCTTGTGATATGATTTTCGTCTGTGAGCTTCCAAGCCTGTTCATCGTTGCATTTGTTTGTATTTGTTTTCTTCCTTTCGTTTCTTCAGAAAAACTCCTTCGCCAGTTCTCGCTCCCAAAGAGCCAGAAAAAAGCCCAGAGAGACTCGCAAAGGGTTCAAAATCCAGCAAAGACTTGAAGAGGTTAGTAACCATGGTCTTGTTGTTCTTCTACTTTATTGCGAACAATAAAGAAGGTCGATACTTCTGCGAAGAGCAGAGTTTCATTATTTCTGTGGGAAAGCCAGGTTTCTTTTCACTCAACACTTCTACCTTTTTGCTGAAAGACTTTTGTCACACACGCTGATTTTGCAAGAGTCTACAGTCATCTGTTTTAAAACGTAAACCATTGGCGCAGTACTCGGTGAGGGGCCTTTAAGAGTGTCAAAAAGACTGACTGACGCAGGGGTTTTGAGGGGAGCTCGTATTTCGTCCCTCCCCACAAACGCCTGCTCAACCGAGAACAACATTCCTTTCCCAAGCGTAGCCAATCACATTGTACTTTCCATATTCTGGAAGGTTGACCTTGACCGCAGGGTAACCCGATAAATACTCGATCTGCATGAAACTCTAGGAAAGCTTTATGACCTCTAATAAATGTTAGACTCAGAGCGACAAAAGTAAGATGTAGTCAGATTTTAGAATACTCCGTGCACTGCATAACCTTAGGGAAGGCCCTACTACCATTAGCGCTATAAATACCGCCGAGGGTAAATAAAGAAATTATTATTATTAAGGAAAAATGTAACTCTGGGGTCACGTTTTTACACCACGAGTTTCTGAATAGTGTTTAGCCTGTCAACACTTTATTTCAAAACTGTTGATTGGTCACTTACCACGCGAATGAAAGGAATGTTGTTCTCGGTTGAGCAGGTGTTTGTGGGGAGGGAAGAAATACGAGCTTCCCGAAAAACTGACAAGTGGCAGTGACCAATTATTCATGGCGTCCGCTTAAGTTAAGTTTCCGTTTTTAAAGAGAGAGTTACTTGTATCTCAGCCTGTTTTGACAGATTGCTTATTCTTCTTTCCTTTCCTTCAGTAAAAGTAAGATCGTGCGTGAACGAGAGGAGCAAAAACAAAAGGAAGAAGAGGCCGCTTTGTCCGAGGTCTCAGCCACGCAACAAGAAGAGGTACCCACCTGGCAGCCCCCTACTGATGAGGTGCTACATGGTTATATTGAGGAGGTTCGGAACACTATCCAACCCCTTAGCAGCAGTAGCGAGCAGATAGTAGCACTTGCAAGGTAAGTATTAATAACTATATGGGACTTAACCCTTTGACACCCAAAAGTGACCAACATCAATTTTCTCCTAACAATAACCATAGATTGTCAAGAGAAATGGTCATAAGAATGAATAAAATGATCACCAAAGAGAAAATGCTTTGATCTTTTATCAAATTCTCTCCACTAATCTTAAAGGGAATGTATGAAGATCAGTGTGGAGAATTTGTATGTGGAACGGAGCAACGGGCGGGACGTGTTATAGGGGTGCTTACCATTGAGCGAAAAATCCCAAATCTGTCGGACGGAACCGAAGAATTATTGTAGAGTCTTTTTTCGGAAATTCCGACCGGAAAATAAGGAGTACGTACCGTAATTTACCATTTCCGTGAGGAAACCGATATTTTTACGAAGCAAAACTTAGGACTTATAAATTTCTGTCGATAATTGCGTATAAAATTTCCACAATTGGGGTTTATTTCCGGAAAAATGAAGCCGCCAAAGCCAGGGAACACGAATTTCCTTTTGGAACATTCCGACTGGGAAACCTTTTTAGACGTGCCGTTTGGTGCTGAAAAGTTTCCACTGGAACGACCTGAAACGCCTTGTTTGATTTACTTTCCAACCGAATTTCCCGGAAACTTTTGTGAATGGTAAATCATTTCAGTTGCCCTTTCATTCCGGGGAAGCGATAATAGTCGGGTGTATTCGCAGGCTAGGTTGGTCTGAACCGAATGGAATTTCTCTTTTCATTTACCTCTTTCTTACCAATAGCGATACTCACGCTGACGTCACCTATTGATGCCAACCAGAAACGCATTGGTTCTGTAACAAAAGATTCTTTTGTTTCACTCGTTACAAATTTGAAAAACAAAAACAATAATTGCAAACAGTGATGTCTCCTATTCCAGATTGAAACTGATGAATCGCTAACCATCTGACCATGGGTACTCCATCCAGGTTTTTCAGTCAAATGGAAGGCCCTCAAGGTGCTGCATCCTACCCAGGTGCTTCTTGGGATTTTCGACAGGTAGTCGCGGCGCAAAGATCAAGGGAAAGCTTCAAAAACGGAGAGAAACAAGGGAAGGCTCAACGTGAATTTTTTCATCATTCCCACGACCCCATGCTCCGCGACTACCGCCGAAAATCCCGAGAAGCGCCTGGGTACGAGGCGGCCAAAGATGCCCTTTTCTGGAAGGTGTCTTATAGAAGCTAGAAAGAGTTGACTGTATTGTGGTCTCTAATCTCTGTTTGATGTCATTTCTTCACAGCTTTGTCAGTGATAAGATGGGCGGCTCTGTGGACCGAGAATCGCTATCAACGTTCAGTTATGAACTACCCATTGGTCAACTAAAAGTCGATCTGAACTCCAATATCATTCCTATTGGCAAGATACAAACCGGAATATTTTATCACCGAGCTTTGCTTTTTAAGGTAAATTAAGGCTACGTTCACACGGCACCGGACGAATTTCGACCTGCTAAAAATTTGACCAGACTTGGTTCACACGAGACCGTTCAATATTCATTGGCCCTGTTCAAACGGAACTTTGAACGGCTTGGCGTCTACAGTTTTGTACGGTTAGGTTGATGACCTGTGAACGGAACACCTTACTGCACGTATACTAAAACGGGTGATTTTCACAGTTGTTTAGTACCAACAGAATCGGCAAAGATCAATCCCATGTGCCTTTCTTTAAGTAGCCGTGTTTGTAGTAAGATAAAACTAGTCGAGTACCGAGTTACTATGGCGACATATATCATAGAGAAATAAAAACGTTTGCTTAACTATAAGCCAGAAAATGTACTGTTGCTAGTGAATATGAGATGGTGATCTTCAAGCGGCTTCTGAGGGGAAAATTAAGATATCATTTTTCATCTACGACCCAAAGGAAACCAAGCGTGCTGTTTCTTTTGTAGGCTCTTGCAGACCGCATTGCTCTGAGCTGCTCGCTGGTTCGAGGAGAGTACAATAGGGCCTGGAACGAGGTGATGCTTTGCGATGAAGCACAGGTAAGAAAACGACCTGTGTCGCTTAATCCCAACCACCCTGCTTTGCATGCATCATTTCGGGGTGTTGATGGCACAAATTACTACTGTACTCCACTCTACCCAGAGAGCTTCCCCTTCATTATTAACTACTTCAGGTTCTGGTTGTTCGAAAGTTGGATAGCACTATTCACCAGGCCCCGGTTGTTCAAACGTTGGATAGCGCTATCGACCGGATAAATCACTATCCAGCGGGGAACGCAATTGTTTCCCGTAATACTCATCCGCTGGATAGTGATTTATCCGGTGGATAACGCTATCCACCGGATAAATCACTATCCAGCGGATAAGTATTAGGGAAACCAATTGCGTTATCCCTGGATAGATTTCTATCCGGTGGATAGCGCTATCCAGCGTTTGAACAACCGGGGCCTGGTAAACCGCTATCCAGAGTATAAATATTACGAAAACCAATTGAACTATCCTCTGGATAATTTTTTTTCCGGTAGATAGTATTATCTACCTTTTGAACAGCTAAGGTCTGTTCGCCAAAAGCCGACGTTGCGTCACATTCTTTCCTCAGTTCCTATTTTTTTACCTCTTTGCATATGAGTTGAACCAGCAAATTAAAACCTTGATCGACCGTAATGACCCTTGTTGCTAGCCACCTAGACAGAGGATCTTAGTCCTTTGTCAAGCGTTCCTCTCCCTGGAACGTTCGCGGGTGAGGAACGCGTGACGAAGCCCTAAGAACGTCTGCATAGGTGTCCTTGCAAAAGTAACTAATGAAGAGAAAAAACGCGATGACTGACCCGTTAGTGGAGTCTTCACCGTGTATTTAAAATGTTGTCAGATGATTTTTAGCTTAAAATTATTTTTGTTTGTGTGTTTATAGGATGGCCAACCTAAGTTTCCTCCTAAAAGTTACCTTGTGGATCTGATGCACCTCCCTGGCAGACTTATGAGTACCGACTCGCCCGAGGCTTCTCTCTACCAAAGGCTCTAGTAGTTTTCAGTTCACGCCTAATAGCATTTTGACGTAGTCGAGTAGTGTTTGCCTTTTGATGTGGTCTTCGCGACTACATTTCAACTAGTCTCAAAATAGTTCAGATTTATGTCGCGTTATAAACCAGCATTAAATCTTTCTTGGAAGATGAAGAATAACAAACCCAGATCAGAGTAGAAAGCCTGAGATTTACAGGAAAAATCTCTTGTTAAATGATGCCAAGGTTTAAAGTTTATACACAGCCAATCAACTGTTGTATTTGTAGAAAACTTTTCATCCGCCTGTAAATAGTGTATATTAAACATTGTTGTTGTTTTTATTTTACTGGTTTGTTAGAAATGGCAGGAGCAGTTAGTAATCAAACTTCAGTATCAAAGGATGCTTAGTGGGGGGGGGGGGGGGGG